TCACCATCGTGGCTGTTCTTGTCTTTCTTGGAGAGGTGGGCCTGGGAGCCCAGCACCTACAGCAATAGGAAGCCAGTGTCCACAATGACTACCAGCAGTGCAGGTGGCTGCAGCCCCACGGGCAGTGGGGTCAGGGGCAGGGCCAGAGCCCAAAGCTGGGACAACTTGTGGGTCTGGAGCTGCTGTGGATGATGGAGTTCAGCTCGGGAGCAGTGACCTGCTTAGCCCTCAGGATGGCTCCCAAGACCGGATGCTGGTGCACCTTACAGCATAGTGGATGAACTCCATTCCATATACTTATGACAAAAGCTAATTCAAGTAACAGGTTTGGAAAGTTCACATATTTCTGTGTACAGCAAAATAAACCTGAGTTCTATCAGAAAATAGAAACCACAGTGAGTTAAACAGAGGAAGTATAATAGATTTAGTAAACTGTAATTTAAAAAATAAGACATCAGGAAACTCTAAACAGAACCCTAGGGCTAAAGGAGAATATCCACAGAAGAACCACCTTGGAAGAGCTATGTGGAAAGAAGGCACACTAGAAGTGTCTGACACTAGATCCTCACACACACAAGGGGACCAAAACATCAAACAGATGCATATTGACTAAAATGACTAAAGAAATATGTTGCAGAGCACCAAGGGAGAGATGAAATCCTTGTAAGTGTACAAAATAGGAAAAGCACCATAGAGAACAGAACAAGGCATCCAGTCTCTGCTGCACCACAGGGNAGGGTTGCGATCCTGTTACCAGTCAGTAAAAAAAAAGAGACAAAAATGAAAAAAAAAAAAAATCAGAATAACTTTCAAACTGCAGCCCTGACTTCGGGATGGGGGATGGAGACTCGTCCCACAGTGGCAGGAGAAGGACTGTGGAATTTCAGGGCCACAGGAAGTAGCAAGAGAAATTGGGACACCAAAGAAAAATGATCACCGACTTCACAAAAATCATTGCAACATGGATTTGGCAAAGTGCTAATCTCTGCTCCCCAACAATGTGGTCTTCTGTTTGTTCTTTTTGGCGGCACAATAAATGTGAGTTCGTCATTCACTCAGGACGACCTTGGGTGGAGGATCTGCAGCAGCCTGGCTACGTCCTATAACACGGCACAAATCCCCAGCATCACGACGAGGTGATAGAAGACATCTGTGAAGCAGAGCGGGTGGGAGAGGTGCTCAGAAGCAGTTCTGCAAGGCCAAGGATGACGCAACAGAAGAGTCAACCCAGGGCTTGTCAGTAGGTTTCCTTACAACTCTGCACACTTTATGCCAAGTCAATTTTGTTCTGTAGCTCACTTTAATCAGTACGAAGAACCCAATAGATAAACCGAGGTCATGGACCTCTGACCAACAGGAATCTGAACTTTAACAATACAGTGATGGCACTTTTCACTGTAGGGCTTTTGTTACAAAACGAGAATCTAGCATTGAAGTTTTAAAAAGTTGATTTACATGATTTTCCTGTAATTTTGAGAGCTAAGTCTACATCTGTGAGTTTATTAATAAATGGAACTGTCTTACCCATCTCCTTGCATGGTTGCCTCCTTCTCACGATGCAGGTGGGATCTTGGGTCTTAGCTGAAATGTTTCTTCCTCTAAGGGGCTTCCCTGGCTGCTCTCTAAATCATGTCCCTGCACACCCCCCACCCCCATATTTCACACGTATTAGAAAGGACAGGGGACTTGCCTGTCTTGCTCACTGCCACAATGCCTAGAACAGGGCCTGCTACAGTCACCATAATTACGGTTGAGCCTTACTGCATGTTTGATATGTGCTGGGCATTGTTCAGTGAGTGCCCTTAGCTGTGATTAAATAATCCATACTATAGCCGTGTATGATAGGGGCAGTTATTAGTCCAATTTTACAGAGGAAACTGGGGTATAAAGGGGTGAGATCATTTCCCAAGGTCATTCAGTTCATGAGGGGCAGAGCCATAACAACAGGGACTCAAATATTTGTTGAATGAACAGATCATTGGAAATCATGTTTTCCAAATGCAGGAAGCCAGGCAAAGCCACGTGGTGAGGTCTTGCTGAGACTTGGGGCTTCATCCAGTTTACTGCCAGCTCCTCCCTCTCTTCAGAGCTCAGGGGCCGGTTGGAGAGAGACCTCTCTACCTCTGTCCCCTATGCCCCACTCAGGTGTGGTTTAAAGTGCAATTTTTGGTCCTTAAAGGTTTTCTCGGGGCCAAAGTTAAGCTTCTTTGAAAACACACATCTGCCTTTAAAACCTTGCCCCATGACATTTCTCAGAGGTGTCTTCTTTCTTACCTGAGAAGCTATAGAGACTCGAAAATCCCCTGCCTGTAGTGAGTAAAGAGAGAGAAGGCAGGTTTAAAAAAAAACCAGGGAAGAAAAATCTCAGAGCTGTTTCTAAAACACAAACCTGATCGTATCCTGTCCTGATTGAAACATCAGGCCCCCGTTGATGTTAGTACAAAGTTTATACCAGGCTTTACAATGGTTTCGTCTCACACTATTTTCCCCTCGGCTGTGTGAGGCAGGGTTTGGTAAACTTTCTGGAAAGGACCGGATAGTGAAAACTCTCAGCTCTGCCTGCATGTGGTCTCTATGCCGCGGATCCACGCTGCTGCTGCAGCCTGCACACCGCTGCAGACAATGCCTAAATGAACGAGCTCGCCGTGTTCTAATACAACTTGCTTTATAGACACTGAAATTTGAATTTCATGTAATTTTCGTGTGTCGTGAAATATGGTTCTTCTTTTGATTTTTCATTTGAACCATATAAAAATGTAAAAAACCATTCTTAGCTTGCAGGCCACACAAAATCCGGCTGCAGCCTGGGACTGCACTCTAAGGTAGAGCTGCCCAAGCCCCTCCTTCCCACAGGTCTTGCCGTTCTTCATGCCACACAATCCTTCAGGTCATGCCTCAAGGTTGTCAGCAGAGGTCCTCCATGAGCCCTGGACTAGGCTGAAATCACTTGCCACATAGTGTCATAGCACCCTGCTCACCCCAGCCTCCTGAGTGATCTCTCTTTCCCTCGATGTTTAACATTTTTCTCCCTGCTAGACGCTAAATTCCCCGTGGGTCTCGCTTCTTTCTTTCTTTTCTATTTTTATTTTTTGCTTCTGGCTAGTACGGGGATCCGAACTCTTGAACTTGGTGTTCTCAGCAACACGCTCTAACCAAGCGAGCTAACGGGCCAGCTCCCGGTCTTGCTTATTTCTGAAACTCCGGTGCCCAGCGCGGCTGGATGCTCCACAGAGTTTTGTTGACTTGCCCGTGACATTCTCAGGACGTTTCATTTTCTGCTATTATCGTTCACTGCATGCTCGGTTTGGAAGCTCTGCCCCCCCTAATTCCTAGGGAGCACTTGAATTTACAAACCTCAAGTCCTTAGTTTGGCACGAGCTGCCCCCTACTCCCCGCGGGAAAACTCCAGGAGCAGGTGAAGGTTGTGCCCACAGGCACACCTGGTTTGGCAATTCAGTCAAAATGCTCAAACCCGCTGTGCCTGTGGCCGCAGCCCAGCGCGAACTCAACAGTGGGGGACACAGGCTTACTCCGCAGGGACAGCTCCACCACCAGGACGCCCCCTGTCTGCGCCCGCAGCACGCGCTTCCGCTTGTCGCAGGTCTGGGAGGCCGAGGGGAGAAGGGGGGACAGGAGGGGGGAGGAGGGGTAGGAGGAGGAAGGAGGGTGAAGGAGGGGGAGGAGGGGACGGGAGAGGGGACGGGAGGGGGGAGGAGGTGGGAGGAAGGGAGAGGAGGGGGAGGAGGGGGAAGAGGTAGGAGAGGGGAGGAGATGGGAGGAGGGGGAGGAGGGGACGGGAGAGGGGACGGGAGGGGGGAGGAGGTGGGAGGAAGGGAGAGGAGGGGGAGGAGGGGGAAGAGGTAGGAGAGGGGAGGAGATGGGAGGAGGGGGAGGAGGGGACGGGAGAGGGGACGGGAGGGGGGAGGAGGTGGGAGGAAGGGAGAGGAGGGGGAGGAGGGGGAAGAGGTAGGAGAGGGGAGGAGATGGGAGGAGGGGGAGGAGGGGACGGGAGAGGGGACGGGAGGGGGGAGGAGGTGGGAGGAAGGGAGAGGAGGGGGAGGAGGGGGAAGAGGTAGGAGAGGGGAGGAGATGGGAGGAGGGGGAGGAGGGGACGGGAGAGGGGACGGGAGGGGGGAGGAGGTGGGAGGAAGGGAGAGGAGGGGGAGGAGGGGGAAGAGGTAGGAGAGGGGAGGAGATGGGAGGAGGGGGAGGAGGGGACGGGAGAGGGGACGGGAGGGGGGAGGAGGTGGGAGGAAGGGAGAGGAGGGGGAGGAGGGGGAAGGGGTAGGAGAGGGGAGGAGGTGGGAGGAGGGGGAAGAGGGGACAGAGGAATGAACAAAGGAGAGAAAAGAGAGAAAGAAATGAGGTTTAGTGAAAAAATCACAAACTGGGCGGTCAAAATTCTCCAGTCAACAGACATTAGTTACTTGTTTTTTAGTAACCCAGGAGGATGTCTTTCATCCCTTCTCTGACTTGAGTAAAGGAAGAAAGCTTTACTTTTAATTCTTCAAGCTGGAGGAAATCCTGCTGGAGGAGGTCATTGGGTGTGGAAGGGACTGATGCCATTTCTTTTGTTAAGGACCATTTCTTTGGATAAGGATTTTACTGCGGTTATTCTCATCGCAGAGATTTGAGGAGTGGACACTTGCAAGATGTGTTCTGGTTGCTTTTCTTTCCTTCCTTCCTTCCTTCCTTCGTTCCTTCCTTCCTTCCTTCCTTCGTTCCTTCCTTCCTTCCTTCCTTCCTTCCTTCCTTCCTTCCTTCCTTCCTTCCTTCCTTCCTTCCTTCCTTCCTTCCTTCCTTCCTTCCTTTTAATGCAGTGTCAATACTCGTCCTTTGATCAACTACAAAATGTCTCTCTTGTCCTTTCTCTATCCCTGCACCCTCTGGCTCCTTTTCCTTTTTCTATTTGTGCGCATAAATGACCATTTTCCAGCCAAATGAATCAATAGAGATAGTGATTCTGATCTCATTTCTGTCCATTACTATAGGCTATGTGGGCAGGTAGCCTCTGGAAACACTGAAGTCTCTAGTTTAGTCCAAATAGACCAGGGATAACAGTTTGGACTTCAGCACTTTTAGGTCTCTAGGGCAGTGGTCCTCAAACTGGAGTGAGCCACGCAGTCACTGGATGGCTTGCCGCAGCACGGGTTGCTGGGCCTCCCTCTCACACAGTCAAATCAGCCTCAGCCTGTGTCAACAATTTCTGCAGCACCTCTCTGAAGTGTCACAGGCAGACCCTCAGGCTGTTCAATCAAAGCTAAAAACACCCACCTTTTGAGTTATGTCCAAAGCCTGTCACTGCCACGTAGACCCTGAATTTCCCTTGCACTTTTAACTTTTTCAAAGTATTTCCATGTCTGTTATTATTGTCATTTTACCTGATGTCACTATCTAAAAAGGGAAGGGCCATCATTACTTGTCACCACTCTGTTGAAAGATGAGAAACCCGGGTCCTGGTGGGTTAAGTGACATACCAGATGGTGCAGGTTGTCAGTGGCAGGGCAGGCAGGGCCTGGAGCGTCTGCCCCTACAGCCAGTGACCTTCCTCCAGAATGCCATCAGCACACAACTACGCTGGCCTGGTTATGATCTCCCAGCTCAAAATACAGCTCCTCAAATCCCGATCCCTTTGGGTAACATTCTCCTTCTGGAGAGAGGCGGCTCACCACTGGGCAGGAGAGCTTCTCACTGTCACAGATGAACGTCTCACAGTGTAACCAAACCTTGGACAACTTGGGGATGTTCTGGAACCGGAAGGCATTGAATTGGAAGGTTGCCCTGTGATCCTTCCCGTTCTCATGCACAAGGACTGTTTCATCTGTGGGGCAGCTGCGGCACATGGAGAAAGGGAGAGGGAAACACCACTTCATTGAGCTCTAGCAAGGGCTTTGGAGGCAAATCTGCACAAAGACACACTGCCCTGGGTTCTCACACAGTGCTTTCCCCCTTCCACAGCACTTTTGTGGCACCCCACTTGATCCTCACAACTATGAAGTTAAGTTGAGGAGCTATGAGATGTATGATTGCCCCATTCTACAGACAAGGTACAACAGGATGGCAGTGACTTATGAGAAGCCACATGCATGGCGAGTCACATGTCTGTCCTAACAAAGTGAAATCCCCAAGAGATAAAAGCTTTCTCAGGACTGGGATATGTACAGACCCCCAGGGTAACACAAGAGAGACAATGGTGCTGGGCATTGCCCAGGCTGCCTAAGCTCAGTCATACCCGACCCACCCCTGTGTGTGGATTATGAGGTTTGGCCATTGGAAATTTGAATTTATGTTATAATCTTTCAACTAGACATATATAATTACCTTTGTAAAAATGCAGTCATATTGTTACTATAAGCACAGGATAAAAGTGACTGGAAGGACACTATGTAAATATACCTTTACCAAAGGAGAGGAACAGGACCTAACGAATGTCAATTTGGAGAGTTTGTGAGTAAACAGGAGTGAAAGCTGTGCCTTTGGACCTGGACTGGGGGTCAGAAGCTACTTGTGTTTGTGGTGTCTTCTGAGCTGCGGCCATTTTCCGAGTTATGAAATGAGACTATTGCAGGATCATTTGGTCAGTAAACCCAAGATCCTTGTATGAACTCAAGACATGAGTCCTTTAAATAGCTCTTTGTAGCTGGAGTGCCTAGGTGTGGTGTCAGCCAGCACAAAATAACTTAAGCGGAGCTTAGTCAGATGGTGAGAAGAAGGCAGATGGTGGGCGGGCCTAGATGTCTTGGCACCTGCCCCTCCATGACAGCTCCCTCCGGATGGTGGAAGCCCATTGAGAGATTTTCACACCATGGCTCCACAAGTTTCCTTCAGATCAGCCTTTGAGATGAGTGTGCTGTTTTAAGTGCACTCATGTGTGCAGGAAAATCGCTGATCATATATCTACTGTAATCTCTCCAAGAACTCTTGAAAACTGGTTTTTCCTACAAAAGGGCCCAGTGTGAACAAAAAATATTTGTGGGAGTGGATGTTCCAATTCTGCCCTTTGGCACTGGTCATTGTGCGTGCACTCCAACCTCAAAGTGCCGTGTCAACTAGGAAGAATGTAGAAATGGATCAGGGCTTCTAAAATTTGGCTGTTCTAAAATGCAGGTCTGGATTCACCCAGAGACCTTTTGATTTGGTTTGTAGTGTGCCTGCCTGTATAACAGGCACCCTAGGTAACTCGTGTGTACCCTAGAGTTTGAGGACCCCTGGTTATAGATTACCCCCCAACCACAGGCATTTCTTTTTCTGCCACATTACACATCTCTCAGGTGGGAGCCACAGCATGAGAACTATTTGCAGGGAGATGATTCCATGGATGGAAGAAGCCTTTGCCCTGTGTGGCCATTGCCTAAGAGAGGTTTCCAGTTTCCGATGGTATTTTCAGGTCCCTGTAGATCAATAACTTATTTCAGAATCCGTGAAGTCATTTGATTGCACCATTATCGGCAAAACCTAAATGAATCAAATCACTCGACAGATGTGCAGTGAGCACCTGAATTAAACTCCCATCTTGGCTGGGTCATTTAGGTGTGGCTCTGCCAGCCTGTCCTACCCACATGTTCAGGAGGTAATGCTGCCTGCACGTGAACCCCAGATCTTCCCTGTACTAGCACTAGACCTTGGGCAAGTTTCTGGACCTGTCTGTGCCTCAGTTTTCTCATCTATAAAATAGTGATTATTGTATGACTCACTTTTTAGGAGGTTTAATAAAATTTAAATAAAATAATATTTGTAAAGCACCTACCTAGAACAACGTCTGGTATGTTGTAAGAACTGTACTGTTTGTTAAATAAAAATACTTCAAGGTCCAAAGTAGCTTCACCTTTTTATCTAATTATCTCTGTCCCTGGCCCCTGTGTTTACTTAGCCTGATGGGTTCTGGTGAGAACACAGGCACAGTGGTCTGCTTTGTTTGGGGAAAGGCCTCTACTCTTTTGTTTACACTTAATTGCATCAATGACGCTCACATCTGTAGTTTAGCTCAACCTCTCCTCTGTTCAAGGCTACAATTCTAAGTATTTCTAGGCAATTGTCATCTCAAGCTTAATATGTCCATCCCTGAACTCAGGGAGAATCCATATGCCCTTATCCAGAAATCCCCTCCTCCAACAGCCTACTAAGTAGCTCCAGAAAGGCTACTCATCACAGTACACAGATCCGACAACACAAAGCTTTTTCTCTCACATACTCCTCCCACTTCTTGTCCTGTCCTTCCCTCCACCCCATACCCAATTAGTTTCTAAATTTTTCTCACTCCTATAGAAGTTCTCCCTTCCTCTTCTTTCCGTTCACTTGGGAGCTACAACTTCAGTTCAGGTCTCGTCGCCTTTGCCTCAGTAGCTGCGGGGCCTCTGATCTGATCATTCCACCTCCCATGCACTGTTTCTAAACCACCCTGTGCATGACATCCAGAACTGCTTTCTATGGCGCAATTCCAATGCTTCAGTCCTCTACTCAGAATTTTAAGAATTCCCCATTATCTACTGAATGAATAATACAAACAATGATTTTCTTTAAACTGATTGGATATTGACAAGGTACTATCTGGTAAGCTTTTCATATGGATTGTCTAATGTAGTCCTCACCATGGTTCTGGTGTCAGACTGATTGGATTTGAACTTAGCCTGTCCATTTCCCCATAAACACACACACTATGGGAACTTACTTATTCTCTCCTGTGCCTCAGTTTTCTCTTCAGTAAAATGGGAATGGTAGTGAGTTAATGTATGGTAAAGCTCTCAGAACGGTACCTGGTATCTGGAAAGCACTGCGGAATGTTTCCGAGTATTCATTCGTAGCCTATAAGCACATCAGGATGTCTCTGATATAACACTCCTACCCTAGGCTATTCCAAGCCAGAGCAAAGTAGCCCAGATACACCTGGCTCTGGGGCTCAGCCCTGGCTGTGGAGAGTGGTACCTACCCTTTGTTGATCAGCTGCCACTGCAAGGGATACATGAAATCAGCTGAAGGTGTGGCCCAACAGCTGTTCAAGACCACTTTAAATCTGGAAATAAAACAAAACAGCATCACCTTGAGCCAGAGAGTCTTACGCCTAGAAATGCCTCGTGATTAACAAATGTCTTGGCTAGTCTTTTTTAAATTTAATTTTATTTGTATTTAAAAATATAAACACAGAGAAAATGGACTTACCTAATGCTTAACCCTTTGGCTTCTACTCCTGCAAACAGATCTGAACCGATTTCGGATGTCTCCAGGACAAAGGGGGCTTCTTTCTTGGTGGTGAACTTGGCATTCTTTGAAAGGAAATTGACACTGGGCATTATGACCTCTAAGGCAGAGCAGCTGGGTATGGTGGGAACAGATGAATTGGGATGAGGTGGGGATGAGCAATCAACCCAAAAGCACGAGCATGTGAGACCACAGAGACCCCTTAAGACCAGAAAAGTTGTACCTTCTAGGATTCTGGGGCCATCTTAGAAAGGGCAAAGACGTCACCTAGATTTGCTGGTCATGGGGAGATAAACACTGTATGTCTCATCTATGCCAATGAGATTTGGCTGACAAAAATAATGGAATCCAGGGATGTTTACGCATCGTGTTTTATTGAGTCACTCAAGGACACAGGGACAGAACACACAGAGCCTCTCTCGGCCCTTGTTCACCTCTACTTTTTGCCTGAGCAGATTTCAGCCTGGGTTGG